ACTGTAACATTAATTATCCATATTTTCGTCTTCAGACTAATTTTTAGAATTAAATAGCGATCAAAACTGTTAATTTAAATCTTCTAAATAGCATTTAAATAGTTATTATGGATCTGAAATCATGTTAATAAAAATCCTTCATTGGCTGATGAAGCCATCGATATATCTATAACAGGTGAGAAGCTTTTGAATTTTGATATTGAGACGGCTTCGATATTGAAAATTATAACAAGACTCATTAAGTTAAACTAATTTTCATAAAATTTCCCATATTGTGACAACAAGGTATTTTATTAGGATAGGATTTACCTATTTATCCTGGGGGAGAGGAAAGCGATAAAAGACAGCCTACCTAACCATATGCCGAACCACAGCCTCTCGTCCTCTATTCAGAATAATGTCGTCAGTAGGTTCATAGTAAATGATGTGGCCTTTCATAAATTATGAGTGAAAGCATGGCAATCATCAAATTTACATACTATGGCTGACAATGTATTTTAGTAGACATTAAGTGTAATAAGTTTTGATGCCCCAAAGCTTTTCTAAATATAAAGATCTGGAAATTACCTCAGCTAACTAACTATATCGGTGCTTTGCAATATATTTCCAATATACATTTACTTGGGAGCTTAGGCACTGTTTATCAATCTAGGTAGTAATTAAAATCAGATGTTATTTTATATAGTATTATGGTAATTTTGATCATAATTTTAACCATGTTTTTTTGTTTGCATATAGGTTTGAACAAATTTCAAAAAGTTTCTCTTCATGCCAGTTCAAAACTAGCCAATGGGGCTGTGTTTGAAAGCACATCACATTACATTGCAGATAATTTGGGTGAATATATAACATATCTCAATATTAGCATGAGTTTCCTAATGCTAGTATTTGGCAACCCAACCCATAAAGTCCCAATATCCAAAATGATAAGATTTTTGCTTTATATGTTGTACTCAAAATTTTGAGTTGCATTAAATAATTTTGTGACTGGTATTTTGAGTGATTTGTTATTTCCGAATAAATGTTCTTGTTGTCCTTGAAACGGTAACATTATCCCCTTGTTTTGTGGCGATTGAAGTTAATGCTGATTTTTATAAGACTGCTCTCCCACAATCCTTGTTTTGCTATCTTTTGATAAAACTGTAAATTGATAGTTCTGTCATTGTCAATTGTGTATCATAAATTATATATAAATATACATTCCATATTAATTTCCTTTCCATTGTAATTTTTTTATGCCTGGTTGTTTTCACATTTACGGTTGACAATGTGCTTGGAACAAAAGTGTTTTTCATTTTAAATTCATGTCCTGGCATGTTGTACTTTGTTGAACACCAATTTAAATTGTCTTTCCAGGGTGTATCGACCTACGTTCACATAAATCATATGGAGGAACTTATGAAGGAATTTGGCCAATGGGTCCGATTAGTTTCATGACACCGTCATCTTTTAATAAGGTTAATTTAATAAAAAAATATAAATTTGGTGTATTTAGGTTTGACATTATACAAATTCATTGTCTATTTTTACAGCGCAAGCACGAGAGGTTTTTAATCAAGGACCCGATGAAGCTTTCACAATAAAATTGCAAGTCTTTGATTCTTTCATCCCAGAAATGGTTGAAAATACGAACAAATATAAAAAGTTGACTGATTTTGACATCATAAGAACTTATGTCACTCCACAAGTTATTGAACAAGAAATTCATGAAGGCAAAATTAGGGGGACCCTATACTTGCCAACCAAGAGTGGGAAATACCCTGGTAAGTTATGATAAAGAAATGAGATGAAAAAAATTTGTCCTTGACATATACTCAGTTAAATAAATCGAATCAGTACTGTATGGCTATTGCAGCATTCCTATTTCACTCATTACTATAAACACGCTTCATCACATATAGGCAGGGCTGTCATCGATATGAACCAAAAAATAAGGACGTCAGGGGAATATAATAATAGAATAACAAAGAACGAAGTGTAATGAACAAAATTTTATTCATGCCACCCCCATGATTTGCTATAGCAGTTCTTTATTCTTAGAAACTATATTTTCCATCTCACTCTTAAGTTGTATTTTGATTCAAGTTACACGAACTGATTTTGGCCGGTAGGCTATTGTTTTGTCATTGTGTCAATTAATTTGCTGTTATTATGTAATGAATGTGCGAAGCTATCAATGAGGTTGTAGAATATCATTTCTATCAAATCAATCATTCAAATTGATTCAAGCACCTGGTATTAGAACCTCTAACCATAAAATGTGGACAAAATAAGAACACATGTTTAAATAAGGACGTTTCTTAGAAATAAGGACAAAAATATTTTCTAAGATAAAACCTTCAAAATAAGGACAAATCTTAGAAATAAGGATATCATGGCAGCCCTGCACATCGTCTCATAAAGTCTGGAAAAATTTGAATACTGGGCTGGGATTCACTATAGTTTTGTAACCTATGTATCATTGGATGGTTGTGAAGTGTGAAACATCTCACACAATAATTATTTCGCTGAAGATAAGTAATACCGTATATACTCGCAGATGGGTCGCAATTTTTTCCTTATATTCAAAAAAAAATATAGGTGCGACCAATCCGCTCAACATAACAATTTATGTGTGTATATGTTTTTGTCATTTCTCAAACAGGGTTAGGGGTCTGAATGTATGGCAGAATGATATACAGGTTTGTAGCGCGCTGGTTATTCATGAAAATCATAAGGTCTGCGTTTGCGTACATGCACTTATTATTGCTCACAGGTGTCAATAAACATATAGGGAAAGGGCGAGTATATACGGTAATCAATGACAATATTTTTTTCCATGTTTTGCTTATGCCAAATGTTGGTACTATTAGGTTATTGCCCCACCACTTTTCTGAACTGTTTTCTTGGGTTAGGTTTCTCTGTTTATGTTACTAATCCCAACCTAACGATCGATAAACAGAATTAATAAATTTGGAATAGAAGAATGGTACCCAAATCTCACATAGCCTACATGTTTACTTTTTTCGTTCAGGTGTGATAAGTATGAGTGGTGGATATCCTGGAGCTATGAAACACAAAGCGGCAATATTAGCGTCACATGGATTTGTTGCTTTAGCTTTAAGATATTTCGGTACCGATGATTTGCCTCCGTGTGGAAGGCATTGATTTGGCCTATTTTATTGAAGCTGCAAGGTTTTTAAAGAATCATCCAAATGTCCAAGGCAAAAATGGTGTTGGCATTATCGCAAATTGTGCTGGAGCTATCTTTGCCCTGGCTGCTGCAACATGTGCCCCAGATGGACTATTCGGCTGTGTTGTTGCAATAAGTGGTTGGTTTTTCTCATTTACAAATTTTGAATATGAAGGCAAGAAATGGAAATCAATGCTATCATTCAAAACTTTCAAACCTGGACCGAGGGCACATATATATATGATTTTGATAAAAACGTAAACCCCTCTATGCTGTCCAGACTTAGTTTACCAGATGATAGTCATTTTGCTTTCTACAAACGACTCCACACTGCATATATGTTTGTTCATGGTGGTGAGGATGCTGATTTGAATAACAATTCTCTAAAAATTGAGAGCGTTACCAGAGATTTTCTCAAATCTTACAACCATCCAAATTATCAATTTGTATTTTATCCTAAGGCTGGGCACTTGATTGAGCATGCATATTTCCCTTTTGCACGAATAGCATGGACATTGAAATTACCACGTTTCTTTGGAGGACAACAGCCTTATCATAGCATCGCACAAGAGGATTCTTGGCCGAAGATTTTGAAATTTGTGCAAACCAATCTGATGAAGAATTGCCATAAGTTATGATACTCTAGCATATATTTAGAGCAGAACGACATCTATGTATATTGCAATCTGTGTCAAATGACTGTATTATTTCTGATTATTATTTGAACTAGTGATCAAATCTTTCTAAATACATAATGTAGTTACTTGTAGTTACTTATGCAGTATTATCAAGCTATTTTTCACAACAAAATAATAACTACCTATCATATATTACTCTCTTAGCTTATATATTGCTTTAACTTAACTGAATATGAGTCAGCATTCAACTGCTTTCACTTTACCACATAATGTCTGATAAGAAGCCTAGAATATGTGTCAATAAAGATCTGTCACTTGCTGATCAACATATTGCAATTTCAATAGAAGGTATTGACAAGTGTTTATATTCCTATTATTGTTCACTAAGTTTAAATAATATATAATTTAAGGAACCTACGCAATAATCGATATTTCCATAGTGTGTGCACCAGGTTAGGCCATAATTTTATTCAGGTTTTCCTTTTTTAAGTTCTATTACAAGTTCGGGGACTGTCTGTGTTAGCCAAGTGTAATATAGGTTTATCAGTCCCTTTACACAACTTGATGTGAAATAGGCGAACAAAATTAGTTACCGTCCATATGGATACACACACTTCTGGAGCACCCAATAATCATATCGATTGCCAGATACAATGAGTCATCAATACAACAACGAATCTCCTCTTGGGGCATTTTCAATAATATACTGATAAATAAAATGAGTGCTATGTTATGCACATATATGTTATAAAATAATTTAGATTTAAAATAATCGTACTTATTTATCATCAATTATTTTCGCATAATAACTCCCAAATTTGGTACTCTTTTCCCCGAATAATAAGTATCATTTTAATGCAGGACTGAATGCATTCCAGAGGGTGTCCCTGTATGCTAAAATAATCCTTCCAAACGAAGCAGCTTTCGAGAGCATATCAAATTATATAGCGACAGTTCAGGTAAGATTGACAGCTCGACAAAACTCCAAATCTATATAAATAGGCATTTAATTACAAATTATTCAACGACCTTACAAATAATTCTTGTATTAGCATTTTCAATTTTCAACAATGTCTATGCAGCCATAGTATGGCAATTGAATTTGCTCTAGTCCAGGAGTGTGCAACATTTTTTTGTCAGCGGGCCATATAACCAACTTCTGACATCTAGCTGGGCCATTCAAAAATTTCGGTACACAATGAATTAAACATTTCTCACCACAAAAAGGCTATAGCATAGAAGACGAAAGACTTAAAACTATGGATTTTATTCGGTGTGTGCGCTTTTTTAAACATAAACTGCAGGTTAGAATTTGATGCTTAGTGGAAAATATCGGAGTGTTGACAAGGGCGACACATATTGTCTTGGCGGGTGGGGTTGTGGCCCGCGGGCCGCCTGTTGCACACCCCTGCTCTAGTCTATATCATAGATTCTCAAAGTGCTCCATAGGGAGCCCCAAGACTCCGTGAGAGAAACCTGGGGACTCCGCGAGCTATTCATTTACTCATTGAAAACTGAATATTTCTTGAATACATCCCAGTCATTTAAATGAGGTAATTTAATTTACTCTGGAACATTAATCAGTATGGCAAGTAACGAATGTACTTTTTATATTATTGTGGGGCTCTGTAAATAATAGTCAGACCCTTCAACTGGCTTCCATAAAACCAAAAGTTGAGAGCCCCTTCTCTATATCATGAAATGCTATAAATTTTAAATTTCAGGCCGTGTCTGTCTGCAGTCGGATAAATCATGTGGTGGATCATACGAAGGAGTGTGGCCAATGGGCCGCTAAGCTCAATGGTACCATCAAGCACCAATGAGGTAAAATCCTATATCTACATTTTTGAAAAAAAGGGTAATATGAATGAATTTTAATTTATCATCCTATATTTTTAGCGAAAGTATGAGCGGTTTTTAAATCAAGGACCCAATGCAACCATTACACAGTACACCTACAAGTTATGATACTTTCATATCAGAGGTAGACAGTGTTCCCCAAATGGAACACAAAATTTTAACTCAACATGACATTATCAGAACATATGCTGCACCTGGTGTATCCGAATAGAAATATGGGAGGGGAAGAATCAGAGGAACGCTATACATCCATGTGGAAGGCGGAAAATTTCCAGGCAAGTGAATCCTGAGGGGTCTATCAGGATATTGCCTTCCAAATCTGAATTAGTTAACAAGTATTCGATTATGCTGGGTGTGGCATATCATGCTGAGCATTATATTACCAAGCGTGGGTTCCGATGTTCAAAATCCTGTGGGGTATAATTATGTGCGAGAGACAATTGCTGGACTCCTCACCGCTGTAACCGCTTGTCAATCACGGCTTCCCCCACAATCGAGTCCATGCATCTGAGAAAAAAAATGACAAAACTAGTCCCATAGACAACTAACCGTACAAGAGGCAGCGGTACGCCATATGATTAACAGGTCTAACCGACTACCCTATCCCTCGAGATAAATAAGGAAATTTTATCCACATACTTGTCCTTATACTTATCTTCAACCATGTCCTCCTACTTATATAAATTTGAAGACCCTTGCCCTTCAATATTAACTGATCAAAGTGTTAGTCCGAGATTGTTGTATTTAATTTTTTTTCACCAACTTCATTATGATTCAATTCAATAAGGATTTTTTATCTTATCTAGGTGTGATTTAGTATGAGTGGTGGATATCCAGGTGCCATGAAACATAAAGCAGCACTTCTTGCTTCACGTGGATTTGTTGCAATTGGCTTTAAAATTTTTTGGGGCTGATGATTTACCCTGGAAAACTTTCAACAACTAGACTTGGATACTTCGTAGAAGCAGGCAAAGTTTCTAAAAAATCATGAACGTGTTACTGCCAGTAATGGTGTTGGTATAATTGGCGAACTGTTCTGGAGCCAGTTTGGCACTTGCAACTGCTAGTTGTGCTCCCATGGTCTCATAGGATGTGTCGTCGCAATAAGTGGTGGATTCACTGCTTTGGGACATTATTGGTATGAAGATCAAAAGTGGAATCCTTCTTCTTCAATGAAGAAAATAAAAATGACAATAGAAACAAATTCAGATGGTATTGTTGAATGGAGATATGACGTTGCCCCCAATAATGTTCAAAGAAACACCAGAGAAGGCAGCCATTTTGCTTTTTATAAACGATTACATACAGCATATATGTTTGTCTATGGCGGAAAAGATGGATATTTTCCTGACACTCCAGAATTTGTGAAAATGAATAAAAACCTTCTGATTTCCGCAAAACATCCTGCTTATAAATTTTTATTTTATCAAGATGCAGGGCATTTGATTGAGCATGCGTTTTCCCCTCTTGCAAAAGTCGCTTGGACCTTTCATGAACCTCATTTCAATGGCGGAGCACAACCTGGCCATGGCTTAGCGCAGGAAGACTCTTGGCCAAAAATTTTGCGATTTGCTTATGACAATCTGACAACAAATCAAAATAAACTTTAGAGCCTTGAGTCATGATAAAACTGTTTATCGTTCTTCTATGCATCACACATTCGTGGTCAAAAACCATTATTTTATTCTGAGTGTCACCTCATGGTAATTTAACATCGGCCAATTTTATTAATTCGCAGTCTCAGAATTCAGGTTCAACATGCTACTAATCATTGACCGTTAACAATGTTACATGTATCTTGGATATTACAAAGGCTTTGCTAACCGTGTGAAATTCATTGTTTTTTAAATTCCATGAATTTAATATTTCATGATACTGGTACATTCTAGGAGCATTTCGGGGAAATATATATATATTATTCGTTTGTCAATACGTTATTTATCTACATTCTTTTTGTTAAAAGATATGTTACTATTTAGTGTGTTGTGTGTGCTGCAAATTCTTTTTCCTCTACTATCGGTACTTATTCCATGACAATATATATGCAATTGATAAGAACATGATGTATTTATTTCAATATATGTGTCTTGTACTCTTACAGGATATAGTAAATGGAGGGATGAATTGAAAGAATGGAAATATCACAAGTGCGTGATAAGATTAATAAATAATACAAAAATTAATGAAAGGAATTATTTGTAAAATTGCATAATAGAATGCAATTGATGAGAACATGATGTATTTATTTCAATATATGTGTCTTGTACTCTTACAGGATATAGTAAATGGAGGGATGAATTGAAAGAATGGAAATATCACAAGTGCGTGATAAGATTAATAAATAATACAAAAATTGATGAAAGGAATTATTAGTAAAATTGCATAATAGAATGTTTGCATACGCTCCCGAAACTCGTTAATAATATCAGAGGTCAAGTTATGAAATAAACAACAAAGTCCACTTGAATTCGTTTCTTTGCTGGTAAACAATGCTCTAAAACCCATCCCAAAGAAGATGCAATTGATATTATAATAGTGACCTCCTCGGGACAAATATATAATCCATAGCCATCCTATCATACGAGACCTAAGCCAAGGCAATGGTCCAGTTAATTGAAGTACTATCAAAAAACACTTATGTCCTATCAATTTCTAATTGCATATCTTAAATAGATTAGAAACCTCCTCGGGACAAATATATAATCCATAGCCATCCTATCATACGAGACCTAAGCCAAGGCAATGGTCCAGTTAATTGAAGTACTATCAAAAAACACTTATGTCCTATCAATTTCTAATTGCATATCTTAAATAGATTAGAACGATTCAGCGTATCAGCAAAAACATTTCACTCGGCTATTTTGGTGTGCATATAGGTCAATTGGTACGAAGATATTTCAAAATAAATCTTTGAGGTAGTATAATATTTTCTAAACGCTTGTCAAAAATGCTGATAATCAACCAAGAAGATGTTTAAAGAATTCAAGATGAATGAAAAGAAAAATAAGTTGGAACTTACAAATTTCATTAAAAAGTTCAATCAGGTTGGGGAAACAAAGAATGATTGCTAATTAAAAAACCTTCTTTTGAGTACAAACAAAATATTGTTTTCGAGCCACTTCAACTATTACCAGCCTATTTGATTTTGTGCAAAAATAGTGACTGTAACCACTAATGCACCTGTATTCTCCTATACATGTTTAATACTATACTGCAGTTTCAAACTCTATTGCATTATAGGTTTCTGGTGATGGAGTAAATCTTGACAGATAAGACCTATCACTATCTTTTATAGTAGTGGGAAGTGAAAGCTTTGGTTGATTTTGAGATTTGTAAGCTTCCTCTGCCAGCTTCTTCAATACTGCTGCACCATTGGCTGTTGTTTCAACCATCTTTGAAAACAGTGTTTCAGGGTTTTGTAGCAAAGTATGAGGATGATCAAATTCTATAACTTTTCCTGCATCCAACACCATCACTCTGTCTGAGTCTACGATCGTATTAATTCTGTGAGCAATAGTTAAAACTGTGCAATATTTAAACTTTTCTCTTATTGTGACTTGGATGAGACGATCAGTTCTCAAATCGACATTTGCAGTCGCTTCATCAATAACTAAGATTTTGCTTTTTCTCAGAATGGCTCGAGCGAGACAAACAAGTTGTCGTTGTCCAACGCTAAAGTTGGAACCAGATTCTGCAAGTTCACTATCCAGTTTCAGAGGAAGAGATTCCACTACCTCTCTAAGCTGGACTTGTTCAAGTGAATCCCATAAATCCTCATCACTGTATTGTGTGAATGGATCAAGATTTCTTCGCATAGTTCCAGTGAATAGAATCGGATCCTGTGGTATAATTGACAATGCTCTTCTCAAATCATTCAATCCTAAAGGTGTAATTGCAATTCCATCTATATATATCTCGCCGGATGTTAATTCAGACAGGCGAAATAAAGCAGAAATAAGAGAACTTTTTCCAGCACCTGTTCGACCAACAATGCCAACTTTTTCTTGTGATTTGACATTGAAACGGACCTTCTTTAACACATCTGGACCACCAGAATAATACGCAAACGAAACTCGATCGAATGTAATGATTCCGAGGTTTGGCCAAGAAGCAGGTGGTTTCTTGTCCGGTTTTTCGTCTGCAGCTTCTGAAGGAATACTGTAGTATTGCTGAACTCTTTCAACCGAAGTCATCAAATTTTCTACTTCTGTACTCTGCCTTACACCCCATTGAAATACTTCTAACAAAGCTATAGAATAGGTCAAAGACATACCAACTTGGCCAGGATCAACATCAATAAATGATATTGTTATGAAAGACATAAAGGTGACAGTTGTTACAAAAAATGCACTTAAAACATCCAATCGAACTCCAAGCCAGCGACCCGCACATAAGAACAAGTACCATGCACTGCTGTGCAAGTTTTGTCTTTCATGAAACTTCTTTTCAAATGTATCCTGGACTCTAAATGCTCGGACTGTAGTAAGGCCTTGCAATGTAGTAGACAGGAGATCGAAAACCGGACTTCGAGTAGATCCTTCCAATCTTTTGATATCCCGTGAAGTTTTTAAAAAATACTGCCTTAACCAGAAAAAAACAACAACCAATGGCAGTGTTATAACAGCCACCATATAATTGATAACAATTGTAAGAATCAGGATACTTGTGATAAAACCACATACATACAAAAAGTCATAAAATGTCAGTGGCAAAATATCATCGATTTGACCCATGTCTTTGGAAAATCTGTTCAGCACTCGTCCTGAAGGATTTGTATCAAAAAATCTGATCGGTGATCTCAAGATAGCATAGAACATTTTTTTATGCATATGTTTCCCGGATGACACACAAAGATAAAAATGCATTATTGCACGAACCCATATGCAAATATATGTTATTGCAGTAAGACAAGCATATATCATCATATAAAAGTTTGTGTCAAATACATCAGAACTTTCAGAAGTTGATGCCAAAGTAACATCCTCCATTATTGTAGTAGACCAGTTCAGAGTACTTGATACATTGGATTGTAAGTCACTCCCAAGCTGTTGGTGTTCTTCATACTTTGTTGCCCACATTGATATCCACCAGTCACATAAAATAAATGAAATATGGCTCAATAAAATAACTATAATAAAGAAGAAACCAAAAAGCTTGCTTGCTCCAACTCGAAAATATTCAAGATAAACACTTCGACTAACACTTCCTTGAACACGCATTTCTTCCGCTGCTTCGCCATCGTTTTTATTTTCTGGGTTTGTTGTGACCGAATTTACAGGATCCTCACCTAATAAACCCAACATTTCTTGTGACAATACAGACTTCAATGAAATAGTTGAAGCTGTCATTTTTGGATCTAGTCTCTGTTTAATTAAAACTGAGTTTTCATCCTCAATTTCTGAAAATTGAGTCTCTACCAAACTAGGTTGGACCTCATCTTTCTCTTCAAGCAAAGCAGCAAAATCTGTTCCATCAGCCTGGAGTTCATCATACGTGCCATGGCTCACGATCTCTCCTTCTTTTAAGATAATAATAATATCAGCATCTTGTAGCAACTGAATCTGATGTGTTACGAGAATACAAATTTTATCTTTCATAATCCCAGATATACAATGTTGAAACAAATGATTTCCAACAACTGCATCTACAGCACTCAATGGATCATCAGGCAGATAAATATTTGCATTTTTACGATATGCAGCGCGAGCTAAGTTAACTCGCGCCTTTTGGCCTCCACTCAATGTAACACCACGCTCCCCCACCATTGTCAAATCTCCATTTGGTAATAATTCAAGATCTCTCTCCAGACCACATGCATGTATTACTCTATCGTACCAATCTGCATCATATTCTTCTCCAAATAAAATGTTTTCTTGGACTGATCCAGCAAATACCCAGGGCACTTGGTTTGCATATGCTATATCACCTTGAATTTTAATTTCTCCCGCAGATGCAGGCAATTCTCCCAAAATCGCACTCAGGAAAGATGATTTTCCTGAACCAACAGGACCAATGACTGCCAGTAACTGGCCAGATGAAACTCTTATATTAATATTTTTCAATGTCAAAATTGTGTTTTCATCCACTTTTCCATTATCATCCCAGCTACCATAAAAATTTATAATTTCTACAAAACTTCCATAGGCAGCCATCTTATCATCAAGTAGATTATTTCTGTATTCACTATCACTAGATTCTATGACTTGATTTAGATTTTCTGTTTCGTCCAATAGTAGAAATTTTTCAATTCTTCTGACTGATATCCTAGATTCTGCGATATTTTCAATCGCTAATGGAAAAAATAATCCCATAGACACTCGAATAACATTATAAATTCCAATCACAGTAAACACTTGAGATGCTGTGAGTTCACCGCCATTCCCAATAAAAACAAGAAATGTAACACATGCTATTAGTTTTGGAGTACATAAATACATTGACAAGTTGAAGGAACGAAGCAGTGCAGTCCACATCACCTTTCGCACTTCACTTTTGCGAATAGCTGCAACCGCTTTTGCAAATGGTTTTTCCCATGTATACATTTTAATTACCCGCATTCCAGTAATGATTTCATTCATAAGTCGAATACGTTCGTCCGTGATAACTGCAGTTTTCATTCTTAAGCTTCCAAAGACTTTCCCATTTAAACTCTGGAAAATCATTGTTAAAAATAAAATGGCAAAGCCTGAAAACACAGCTGGTCCAACTACACCCCATAATATATAGGCACAAATGACCGATTCTACTGGTCCCACCCAGATGTAATGAATAAACAGGGGCAGAGAATCAAATCTTAAGACATCTGTTGCACCAAGATTCACGATTTGCCCAGTGGTTGTCTCACTTAATGCTTTTTGACTCAATCGTAATGTCTTTTTATACATGAGTGCACATGCAGCAGCTCTGAGATGCCAACCTAACCGCTGAACATAGTAAAAAAAAATATGATGGAAGATTGCGAAAAAGAAAGAAATAACACTGATGAAAGTTGCTGTCATGTATGCATCCCATACTGGCATAGAATCCATGTTTTCAAAATATGAGACGAGTCTTGCAACCAAAATAGGATGAATTATTGCTAGTGATTCTTCAAGCAGATACACCAATCCAAGCTTGAAAGAAAAGAAACCATATGTTTTAATAATGGCACGACCAAGACTTGGTTTTCCACCATTTTTTGCTATACAGACTTCAAGTGCCCAATTTTCTTCTAATTTTTGAGAAACTGTTTCGGAAGTATCTTCTTCAGATAGTTGCAACATATCTTTTTCTGAGAGGGTTTGCTTCGCTCCTTTTACAAAAAAGGAATTCAGCCACCAGAAAGTACATAAGGATAGTATAGTTGCCTTCTCTCTTTCATTTGGCTGCAACTTCATATCGTGAATTTTTCGTTATTTCAAAATTAGGTTCTTGTAAAATTTCATGTATTTTTACATTTTAAATACCTTCGAGAATTTTTTTTATCAAATATCTGAATTAATTTTAACAGTCTGTTCTTAAGTCAGTAAACCTGTATTAAAATATTTTCCATGATTTGGATTCTAACCCTAGATATTAAAAAAAGTAATCAGGACTTAATTTACATAAGGTTTAAAATGGGAATGTTTGTATCTGGCTATCAGCACTTAGACTTTCCTCTCTTGATTGACTGTGGCTCAGTTATCAAATTGTAGTTGATCTCTAAACAAATCTAAACTTTTGGTTGATGAAAAATATACTGCCATAGGAGTTGTATGACCTACATCAAAATCCTTTGAGTGTTTTCATATATTTACTTTTTATGCAAGTTAGTTCTTGCATTTGCCCCTGTATAACATCAGACTCGTGCAGTGTTGTGCTTCAGTACGTTAAGTCTGATTGATCTTGACTGCCTGGCTTCTCAAATTTCTAATTCTGTTATTCTAAATTTTAAACCCCTACCCTATTGATTAGAGTTTAATTGAAATGCACTTAGCTAATTATCCGCTTAGAAATTCATTTGTGCCCTGCTTGAATACAGTGGCAGTTAAAAAGTTACTCTACCTCAAAATATTATACATACAAAACTGTGAACAATAGTTTATTACTTTTCATTCAAGTATTTCAGTATTTACCGGGTCTAGTGGGTATTATGTTTTAGTATATCCCTTATTCCTCCTGGTTTGTTCTGTGATTAATTTTTAACGGCAGAACGGTACATTTATATAACAGCATATTTAATCTGTGTACTAGTTCGGCCCAAACCCTATGATATTTTTGTGATAATGTCAACCTATCATTTCCAGGCGTTGATAATTTACGTTATTGTCAGACATACGTAGTTCAACCTGGCTTATTTTTGATTGATTAATGTCAACCTATCATTTCCAGGCGTTGATAATTTACGTTATTGTCAGACATACCACATACGTAGTTCAACCTGGCTTATTGGACACGTAGTGGACATAACGATCGTTTCAATATTATGTTGTTGTTGTTCTTGTTCTTGTTCTTGTTCTTGTTGTTGTTCTTGTTCTTTGACACGTTTTTAAAAAGTCGCTTTTCTCTTCGAATACTGGACCAATTGCTTTGAAATTTTCAGTGGTTGAAGATTAATTTTTTCGCTAGAAGGCTATTACTTTTGTTTATTCTTAAATTTCATATGAATCCTATGAGATATGATATTTCATACAAAATTTCGCGGTATTTATTTTTACTCATGGGAACACTGTTTTACACTTATTTCAAGCGGTTTCGCGATCGATTGTCTTGCTCAGTACTACAGCTACTGTAGGTCGGTACTGGTAAGTTGCCATACCGGTGCCGTAACGCAGTGAAATTGACTTATTCCTTCCGCGGTATTACTAATGCTGCAATGCAAGTTTTATAGCCTATCGTATGCGGAACGGAATATCAGACCTACAGGTTCGGTACCGGTACTGGTAGCTCAGTACGTAAGTACGATACTGGTGCCGGTACCGGTGTCATACCACAATGAAATTACCGTAACTTATTCTTTCACGGTCCTACCAGTGCAGTAATGCAAGCGTTGTAGCACTTGTAGCCTACTATATTTGTTTATTTTAATGAGAGTCTACTGGAAACAACATAAAATTTGAAAGGGAACAACTGTTCTGTGATCAATTACCTGTACCGTATATGGCCTACAGTGTACAGGTAAGATGCTGGCTGACTGCTAACCGGTACTGGTAGCTCAGTACGTAAGTACGATACTGGTACTGGTGCCGGTACCGGTGTCTTACCACGATGAAATTACCGTAACTTATTCTTTCACGGTCCTACCAGTGCAGTAATGCAAGCGTTGTAGCACTTGTAGCCTACTATATTTGTTTATTTTGATGAGAGTCTACTGGAAACAACATAAAATTTGAAAGGGAAGAATTGTTCTGTGATCAATTATCTGTCCTAAAGTGTAAACAACATAAAATTTGCAAGGGAACAACTGTTCTGTGATCAATTACCGTATATGGCCTACAGTGTACAGGTAAGATGCTGCCTGACTGCTAACTCAGTACCGCTTGACACGTTTTTAAAAAGTCGCTTTTCTCTTCGAATACTGGACCAATTGCTTTGAAATTTTTAGTGGTTATTAAAGATAAAAATTTTCTCCAGAAGGCTATTCCTTCTTTTTTCGCTATGACGTCATCAAAATTATGTGACTCTACGTGTCCATATATTTGAGCATAGCTCTCTTGTTTTTGATTGATTAATGTCAACCTATCATTTCCAGGCGTTGATAATTTACGTTATTGTCAGACATACGTAGTTCAACCTGGCTTATTGGACACGTAGTGGACATAACGATCGTTTCAATATTATGTTGTTGTTGTTCTCGTTCTTGTTGTTCTTTGACACGTTTTTAAAAAGTCGCTTTTCTCTTCGAATACTGGACCAATTGCTTTGAAATTTTCAGTGGTTAAAGATTAATTTTTTCGCTAGAAGGCTATTACTTTTGTTTATTCTTAAATTTTATATGAATCCTATGAGATATGATATTTCATACAAAATTTCGCGGTATTTATTTTTACTCATGGGAACACTGTTTTACACTTATTTCAAGCGGTTTCGCGATCGATTGTCTTGCTCAGTACTACAGCTACTGTAGGTCGGTACTGGTAAGTTGCCATACAGGTACCGTAACGCAGTGAAATTGACTTATTCCTTCCGCGGTATTACTAATGCTGCAATGCAAGTTTTATAGCCTATCGTATGCGGAACGGAATATCAGACCTACAGGTTCGGTACCGGTACTGGTAGCTCAGTACGTAAGTACGATACTGGTACTGGTGTCTTACCACAATGAAATTACCGTAACTTATTCTTTCACGGTCCTACCAGTGCAGTAATGCAAGCGTTGTAGCACTTGTAGCCTACTATATTTGTTTATTTTGACGAGAGTCTACTGGAAACAACATAAAATTTGAAAGGGAAGAATTGTTCTGTGATCAATTATCTGTCCTAAAGTGTAAACAACATAAAATTTGCAAGGGAACAACTGTTCTGTGATCAATTACGGTACCGTATATGGCCTACAGTGTACAGGTAAGATGCTGGCTGACTGCTAACCGGTACTGGTAGCTCAGTACGTAAGTACG